TTTTTTTTCTCCTTTTCTTTTTTTTTAAACAATAAAAATAATACTTGGAAGACAGCTGAGAAAAGCTCCAACAAGACAGAAAATTCACTTGATATGGCATCGTCCCCACTGGGCCAGGGCCCCACAGGGGCTCGGCCACAGTGACAAGTGTCCCCAACCCCTTCCCTGCTCCTCCATCCCCCCTTGTGACACCTCAACTGAGTGACAACATGGGGTCACCCAGCGCAAAACCCATTTTCTTTGCCTTTCAGGGTCCCACCACACCCATACCAGCAGTGGGATGGGCAGAGTGTCCCAGTTGGAGAGGGGGGGAGCAGCCTCCCAGTTAATTAGTGCCCAGTTAAGAGGTTCCTATATACATACATACACACATGCTCTGGGAGACAGCCAGATGGATGAAGGAAAATTCTCCAAGCTGGATTTACAGGTTGGGGTTACCCGTGGTTTGGGCTGAAGAGGAGTTTTCTTGAGACTCAGAGAGACTCAAGTGTCGGGAGAAAAAGTCCAACAGCTGGGAGGTGGTTGGAAGGGAGTAAAAAAATAATAGGAAAGGGAAATAATAGGGAAAGGACAAAAAAAACAAAACAACCCAAACTTACATACCCAAAGCCAACCAGCCCGATAGGTGGAAACCTGCTGTCATTCTGGTAATAACATGAGAAGTTTTTTCTTTTTTTGAAGTGTAAAAATTCCAAAATACGCCCGGCCCAGAAGGGGGAATAAAAAAAAAACTGCCTCACCAACCAACCCACCTTGCACCAGTTTCTCCAGTAAAAATAAAAAAAGCAGAAGAGAGCCACGAGCATAAGGACAATTTTGTCCCAGCTCAGTCCGTACCACAAAAGCCCTCGGCAAAGAAGCTGCTGTGGCACCTCCTGCCCTGCCAAAGCCCCCAGTAAAATAACATGGATATAAAATATTCCTATGGGAAATGATCCTTTCCAGCAGCTGGGCAGTAAGTGCTACGGGCTGCAGGAGAGGAGGCACCGCAGTGCCAACCCTGATGGCTTGAAGTTTCCTGAGTGATTTTGCTGGGAGTCGAGTTGTGTCCAGCCAGCTACTGCACGGATCTGGCTCTGCCTGAGGCTATTTGGGGCAGAAAGGGCATAAAAAGCAAGAAGGAAAAAAATCTTCACTCTAGCCCAGGTCTCTGAGTTGTGGGGGCAAAGGCACGAGGTCTGAGGAAAGCACAGATTCACTCACTATTTTCTTGAGCCCTGTTGTTAAAAAATACTTGGAAAGTAAAAACGCAGCGAGGTGCTGTGTGGGAATTCCCACTTCCAGAAAGCCATCAGTATCCTCAGCATCACCAAAACCCTCCCTGCACCCTGAAATGATAAACACACAAGAGCTGTGGAGGTGAGGCAGGATGGATAATGCCAGCTCAGCCCTTGGAACTCTGGAGGTCAGATTGCAGCAAAGGCGCGGGGGCTTTTTTATATTAAAAAAATACTTATTTTTGAGTAGTGCAACAACCCCACCACGCAAGTGATTGTTTCCAGGGCTGTGGATGAGCAGCACCAACCTCCAATGCACTTTGGGGAGTCCTTCCAGCAGTACGCTCAACCCGGGAACTTGCAAAGATG